TTGGACAATTTCATTTTTGTGCATCTTGGTATGATTTTATTTAAATGTCTTTGCAAAAGGTTCATTTTTCTTGGAAATGTATTATAAGTTGAACTAAATTCAGAAATTTTAAATCTTTAAAAAAAAATGCTTGAAACTGTTGTTTGAAGCAAGGTACAATTCTCCTATGATGAATGCTATCACTGTGTATATATAAAATGAACCAATGAAAAAGTTAAAGGAAAAAAAAAAATCACATCCCTACCAGTGTCCAAAGTGATTTAAGAATATGAGATAAATGAGTATATGAGAGACTGTGAGGGTAAACTGGTGACTCCAAAGGGAGATCATGGTGTGGCAGGTTTCTCCTGGAAAAGTTTGTACCAAGAACTAATCACAAAGAAAGCTCGACTCAAGTAGATGTGAAAGACTTGAGCAGCCACTTTTCAGTATTTAGTAGCAATATGAAAAAGTGCTTCCAGTTTACTCATCAGCAGGGAAGGATAAGTTAAAGCCATGCTGAAAAATCTATAGCCTCATTTGAAAAGGAAAATGAGAAATTGTAAGTGTTGGTTAGGATGTAGGGGAGCTGGCTTTTACAAGTATACACAAATAGAGAAGAAGCACAAATGTGGCATGAACATGGGAAAATGAAAGAAAGCAAAAAAATATATGACCATTAAGCGAATGCTTAGTCTCAGAGGTGACTCAAAGAAAAGTCTAGATTAAAACCTAAAAAGAAAAGAAAAATCCCATTGCTGTAAAGGAAAGAGAAGTCCCCAGTATCCTTTGTGCTTATTCTTCCAGTATAGTACATAACTGGACCCCACTGTATTGTATTTTGGTTAAACTAACTTCATGAATTTTCCATTGAAGCCAGATTGGACTTAGTACACTTGCTGATGAACTGTGTGCCAAGTTATCCCTTATATAACTGATTGTGAATGACTGAAATTGAGATATTTAGACAGAAGTATCAATCAGGTGCCTCTAAGGATTGTCAAGGATCCATGATTTGAATGATTATTACCTTGTGCACATAAAGGGACCGTTGCAGATGACTGCTTAGTGTAACAAGTAAATTAGCACAGGTGTTACATTGTGGCTACTGTTCATTGGAATCCAGAAGCTCCCTGCACTTTCTATCATATACATTTCTAACCACAGATACAGCATCTACCTTCCTCCCCGACTTCTATGTTTTCAGTTAATTGAACATGCTGTAGCATAAGTTATTATTGACCTATTTACTCTATTACTGTCCAAGTATGGGTAAATATTTACTTTATTATGCTTTTTGAGTGTGGTTTTAAAAGTATACACAAGTGTACCTGAGTTCTTCCTTTGGCATTTTTTAGGATCTATAATAAAAACAGAATTAGAGGGGCCGGGGAGATGGCTCAGTGGAATAAGCACTTCCCTGGCAAGCGCAAGGGCCTGAGCTCAAACCCTGGTTTCGCAAAGAAAAAAAAAAAAAAAAAAACAGAATTAGGTCATGTGTCAGTTCTACATTAAACGTTTCAAGGAGCCATCACAGAGTTTGCCTTGGGGCAGCAACCCCATTTTATACTCTTGTCAGCCATGTAGTGACTCCAGCTTCTCCACATTTTCACCTAGAGATTGGCCCACGATGACAGCTTCAGGTCTTCTAGGAGCTCTTCTGAGCATTTGTCTTACATCTTACATTTTCAGAGTTCTCTGAATTCCCTCTGTGTGCCTGCTTTCATCCCCAGCTTTTCTTCAGTACATACTCCAACACTAGCTGCTTCTCTTTACAACATCGTACCTGCACTCTGGGCACAGCCTGTGTCCCCCAACTCCCTCCTCAATTTTTTCTAGCACAACAACCACAATCTATCCTTTGATCAAATTAAACCTCTCTAAATGGCTCTCCAGGCCTGCTGGATTTGTAGCAAGAAGGGGTATGTGGGGCATTGTAGCAGACAGTGGGGGTCTAAAACCAAGAGACTAGCTGAGAGCTCCAGCAGAGTGAGTGTGTCCCACTGTTTGGAAGCAGGGACCTGAAAAAGTACAGCCAGCAGGCTGGGAGGGCACCTGAGAGAGGGCAACTCTGCCACCAGCCACATGAAAGGAGGACCCAGCTGACCACTGAGTTGGTCCCTGGTCACCCTGAAAGATGCCTTGATTACAGCAGGACAGGGACATTTAAAAGAAACTGTAAAAGATGAAAATAATATGTAGTCTGAAAGTTTGTTTTATTTGTGGTACTGGAGTTTGTCAGAGTTCTTAGAAAATGGAGATTTTGATATAATGGCAGTGAAAAATATTTAAGGCTGTGGAGAAGCAACTATTGTAGAAGTTAAGTAGGTCAGGTAAGTTTGTGGCAAATTGAGTAACAGTAGTTTTGTGGAAAGTTTTACAAGAGTGGCTTAGCAGCTAGGCATAGAAGCTGTCATTCTTTGGCATTGATAGTAGTAGCCAGTGGACATTGAAAGGGTTAGTAGAGTTCTGTACACACAAGTACAGCACACTGGAATGAAAGTGGACAGTTCATGGGGAGATGGGTGAGGGTGTGGTGGCTTTACCTGCACCTAAACGAGGTCAGCACCCTCCTATAGCAGGCTGGGAAGAGGTTCAGGGTCAGGCACTTATGGATGGAGAAGCCATAGGACTTAGTGTATAGCCAGTGTAAGGGATGAGACTGCGACTCTGAGACCCAGTGAGAGACCCAGGACATTAGCACTCTGGGTAGTGAGAGATGCTTCCCAGAATGGCTCGCTGGAGAGGAAGAGATACTGAGTTTGGTTTCAGATATACTAAGTTTTAAGCTTATTGAAAGTGTTAAGCTGAAAGCTTGGAGGAAGCAGTTGGGAAGGGCAGTTGCTTGGAGACTGTGAGGCAGGAGGCACAGTGTCGGCAAAGGAGCATCTAGCAAGGAGGTCAGCTGTGGAGGGGAGGAGAAGGAGGCATAGGCAGCAGCTGCAGGCTGAGGGTGAGGGTGCTCTGTTCTGTGCTGTTTGAGGAATGCTGTGCCCCAGGTTCCACACACCAGTCAGAAGTCCCCTAGAAGATGCACTAGTTAACACTCCTTCTTGTAGGATGTGTTACACAGTGATCTTGTAATTGAGCCAGGGATGCCTGTGTCTGTGCAGGTTTACTCATTGTGCTTGAAGCATCAAGGAAGGATGCACAAAAGATGAATTGTCACCCTTGAAGAAGGGAACTGGATGCCTAGGAAATAGATACAAAGAGAGATGTCATCATATAGACCTTTTTGGGGGGCTTGGGGGGACAGGAGTCAAACTCAGCACCTTATGCTTTCCATGCAGACACTATACCAGTGAGCTAAATCCCAGGCCCCTTAGACCTTTTTATTTATTTTAAGATGTTGAGCTGGGTTGCCTAAAGTCCCATCACTCAGGGAGGCCAAGGCAAGAAGATCATGTGTTCAAGGTCAGTTTGGGCAACAAAACAAGACCTCATCTTTAAAAAAGAAAGAAAACTTTGAGCTGGGGATTTAGCTCAGGAATAGAGCCTTGCTTGACACACTTATATTCATATAAGTGCAAAAGAGACTCAACATGATCATGGTGGTTATCTGGTCCACAAAGTGAAACAATAAAGTAATACAAGAAATTTTTAAAGAATTAAGCTGCCTTTTGTGTTCTGAGAGGAGGTAATCTCTAGCTACTAGGCATAATGAAATGAGGGGCAGCACATTCTACAGTGGTAGGTTGTCTTGTGTTTAAGAATATGTATCTATGTTTTAAATAGGAAGGCATGAATAGCAGTATTAGCTTTTTTATTCAGAGAGCATTTCTAGAAGTTGGACTGGCTGGTAATGGAATGATCTCTGGGAAGATAGCCTGAGAGATAGTCAGGCAAGGAAGGGAAAAACTGCCTTTTTACTTTTTGCCCTTTTAGCTTGCTTGAAGTGAGATCACCATGTGTGTTGCTACTATCAAAAGTTCAGTGAATTTAGAAAGAAAATTACCTCAGTAAATAAGTAAATTCTTTTCGTTGAATAAGTAAATTTCTATGTGTTATCAACCAAGTGTCTGATGCATGGCCCACGTGTGAGCAGAGCTGGTTGGTCCTGTCCTGCCCTTGGTAAGTTGATCATTAACTTCAGGGTTACAAGAACTTCAGTTGTTTAGTAGCTGCCACCCTCATTTTTGGCCCAAGCATCTCTAGAAATCCAAGAGTTAACCTTTGTCTCTTCTGTTCAGGACATCTCCCTTGGCTTCTTCCTCATCTCCTTCAGTATCAGCAGAAGAAGCCACTTGTCTTCAGGAAGTGCAGCAAGAGGACTGTGGCATAGAAAGAGAGACTGGCTCTGAGACAAAGTCAGGAAACCCAACATCTGGTTCGTACTTCTTATTTAAAGATGGCTAATGAAATCATCCATGTTTGGAGAGTTTCTCATGTTTAGGCTTTCTGCTAGACGAAATGTGGAAAAGATAGCAGAAAGTGACATCACTTAGACAACTCACTATTTCTGCTTAGACAGTTTACTTCATTGTCATTTTGTTGCAACTGTTTTCCATTTTTTGTTATTTGCACCATTGTATATAGCAAGGAAAGTACACAGACGCGAAGCAAGCAGCTCTTTGGAGTCTGTACTTGTGCACCTGTCCCTTAGCCACACCCAGATCATACTGTGGGGGGTTTTCAGGACCCTCCACAGTGACCGCTGTTCTGAATCCTGTCACTATTATTTTCACTGAATTGGAAGTACAGTATACACTCCACTGGCTTCCTCCAGTCAACATGTTTATGAAATTCACCTGTATTATTGCAAGATGCAATATGTTTTAACTTGCTAAGTTCTACTCTGTGATACACATACAAAATGTATTGGTAGGTGTTGGATCTTTAAGTAGGACTATTGTGGCCAAAGTTGCTATGAACATTGTTAAGGATTTGGATAGTAGCCTTAAATATCTTAGATTACAGAGTAAATTTCATTGTCTTAGAAAATGTGTCCTTTGCATTTGTTCCTGCAGCATGATGTCTGTGGTCTGGAAGTCGTCTTTGGCTTAACCTATCTGACAGGTTTAGACAGCCTGGGCATTTATATCTTGTAGATAGCATCATAATGTGCCTCTCCAAAAAGTAACTATACTCCCTAATTGTTTAATATTTGTTAAAGCTTGTTTTTAAAAAATGTCAATATAACTGACTTGCATTTTCTCTATTCTTTGCAACTGGATGCTTGAATTACTATGAAATCTATACTGTTGCATAAGTAATGCCTCATCTGAAAGTTGATTAAGGTGCAAAAAAATTAATGTGTACATATCTATATCTGTATTTATGTAAAAACATTTGCTTTTGTACAGAAACTTTATCTGAAAACCCTGGAGATAGTCCCATTGGCAGAATATCACAACCACAGCTGAAAAGGTACATACATCCACTGCTGGAGCACCTGCTTTCCTCCTCTGGGGACTAACCACTGACAATGTTTAAGCCTTTCTCTTCCCTTTTAGCTTTCACCCACAAATAAAGTGGTTCCAAAAGGATGATGTTATCATCCTAAGGATAAGAATAAGGAACATAAAGGATTACACATGTAAATACTTTCATGATAGAGTTGTTTTCAGGTAGGTTCATGTTTATCTTCTAAGGTAAATTAAAAATAATCTCCAGGGGCTGGGGAGATGGCTCAGTAGAATAAGTGCTTCCCTGGCAAGCGCAAGGGCCTGAGTTCAATCCCCGGCTCCGCAAAAAAAAATAAAAATAATAATAATAATAATAATAATAATAATCTCCAACATTTTTAGCAGGCTGACTTTGTTACTTTTCATAAACCTAGTGCCTGGGTGGGAGACAAATTTTACTTGGCTGACATGGAGCTACAAGCCAACATCATAAAAGAAGACTGCAAGTGTGTAATTACAAATGATGAGCCTGTAATCACTCTTGCAAAAGAGAAAAGGGGATCCTGGTGTGGCTTACTGCGGCAGAAGGTGCGTTGTGAACTGTGGTTGAAGGTCTTGATGCGGGGCTATGTTGTATCCACTCATTGAGTATACTGTTGTTTTGAACAGAATCCTAATGTGACTTTTGATTTTGACCACTGGGAAGAATGTGATGAAGATGGAGAGGAGGGCCTCTTCCCTAAAGGTAAGGTGGGAAAGACCTGCTGCGTGGGGAGGACCTGAGTCTGGAGGGGTGGTCTCTGCTGGTCTGAGGGGCTGAGACTCTGGAAATGCGTTGTTTGGCTAAATCCCTTAGAAATTGTCTTTCTTCTTGTGGTTGATTCTGGGGCCAGATATTCTGGCAGGAGTACTCATCAACCCATACCTTCTCATAGCACTGCCACAGATATTCTTAATGCATCTACCAAAATAATGAGGGTGGAGAGATTTACTGCTGAATCTATACTTCACATTTTAAATAATATCTGACTCTTTTAGTTATAAGTTCTAAAACCGTGCCTTGCAAAGTGCCCAAGGTGGTTGAAGACAGCAGCAGCTGTGAGGATGACAGCGGAAGCGAGAGTGACTGAAAATGTGCATTAAGGCTTGAAGAACAGCTGGAGGCCTCTGGACACAAAAGTGGGCACTACTGAGTGACTAGCAGCTAAGAAAACAAGCTTCCATAACCAAGGCTTTCCACCTGAAGGCTAAGGCACTATTAAAAGTCACCTTGTGGCACTGGGATGGGTAATGGTCAGGAACTCTTAGTCTACCTAAAATTAGGTTAAGAAGACTATGATTGTCAAAAATCACATAAAAGGGCCAGGGAGATGGCTCAGTGGAATAAGTGCTTCCCTGGCAAGCGCAAAGGCCTGAGTTTAATCCCCAGTTCTGGAAGAAAAAAATTCACATAGAAGTGGGATGTGGACAGAGAGAAGCAAAGAGCACAGGTCTGGTCCAAGCCCATGAAGTGTGTGTATGTCCCTCTAGCTACCTCTCACATCCATGCTGACATGCTCAGGTTTTTTCTGTCACAGTGGCAGAGAGCAAGCTGTGACATTTGTGTCTGGAGTCAGTCCACATGTTTTTGTCGTTTAGACCTACATTTGTCTTTGGAACCTTTTTTAAAGCTTATGCACGTAAACAGAGGCTTCCATCTTCTAAATTCATACTCAGCATCTCCCTCATAAACCCTTTCAACTGTAAGTCAGTTGAAATTCACCATAACTGAGTAAAAATACTAACACATTTACTGTTCTCAAGGCTCTGATAGTAAACATGTTTTCCCAAAGACAATGTGGGGTAAACTCCAAGAGCAACACCCAGGCTTTCTAGAGGTGAAGCTGTGTGTTCCTGATAGCACCCTGAGCTTGCAAAGGGACCTTTGAGAGCTTTCAGTGATAAAGCCCTCTGTGACGTGTGCCATAGTTTCTGTACCACTAAGGAGTCTCTTGGTAACTCAATGGAAACCTGTGCAGTGCCTGCAGGTAACCTTCAGAACACAGGAGGGAGGTGAGCTCTGTGATAAGATTGTAACACTTGGGACTATGAGAGTTCTTTGGAAAGTATACATAGTTCTTGCCACTTAATGTAGGAATGCCCAGGGGCTGGTCTTTCATCTTTAAATTTCTTCTTTGACTGAAAATGTTGGAAAGATAGGAAGTTGAAAACTTTGTGGCTGAGGCAAGAGGATCACAAATTCAAGGCTAGCCTGTGCAACTTAGCAAGACTTTGTCTCAAAAAGAGCTGGGGATGCAGTTCAAGAGTACAGCACCCCTGGGCTCAACCCCCAACATTCAAAACCCCGTGCACTTGCTCAACATGTTAGTCAGCTTCTCCTAGAAGTGCAAAAGAATACTGACAGATGACTGGTGGCTGACCATCCCAAGACCTCTCTTTTTGTTACATTGCAAAGCATGGTTGCTCAGGCTCCTGTACATCCCAAGTATGAGCCACTGTTGGAACTGAGGTAAACTGATGACACTGTCTCATGAGCCCACCTGGGTCTTGCTCTGGCTCTGTTTGTTGCTCTGTCAGATAAAATGCTGAGCTCATACACACCCTCTCTTCTCCATAGGCAGTGCCTAGAATACTGCTGGGCAGGGCCCTCTTCTGTATCTTTGCAGGGCCTCTAGGACAGACATCAGAACCCAGCCCTCCAGGTAAAGGATGTAGTGCATGGCCAGGAGCATGTCCTTGCTTCTCTGTGATAAGTTGACTGGCAGGTATCCTATGTGAAAGTGGGTGGCTCCTGAGAAAGCAGAGAGCTCTGGTGTTTGCTGGAAAGGCTCCACTAAGAGCTCATCCTTGTCAGTGAAGGTGGGGGCAGGGGCAGTAGCTCGGCTTTCTGTCCTGAGGGCACTGGCTGGCTGTGCTGAGTCCCTTAGGAATGGCAGTGGCAGGTCCTGGAGTGCTCGTGTGTGTTCCCAGGGCAGGCTGCAGTGGCATCTGCCCCCCAGAAGGCACAGTGCCAACTCTGGGCCACTGACAGCCACTGGAAGCACTGGGGCAGGAGCACTAGGGATTTAAACCTCAACTTCTTTTTCACACTCAAATGTTGTAATATTTAAAGCTCTAAATAGTGTTGTGTAGGGTGTAGAATGTTGACTATGTAAATAGTAATTGACTTTCTATACTGCTGTTAAAACACATGGGTTGCATGTCTGGGTAAATTTCTGAACTATAAGGTAAAAGTTCTTTAGTGTCTTTGCTTCTAAAACTGCTCACACATTCTGTTATGGTGTGAATGACTTGTTGCTTTAATAAATTTTTTGTAGCTGTCTTTAATAATAAAATTTCAGTGTTCTCCCAGAAATCTTACTATTTATATTTTATAAACAGTATTTTTCCCAAGTGCCAGATTCAACATAAAATTTTATTCACCGTGCTTTCTGGTGAGTAAAATACCACTGAAAGCTGTTGAGAGCAGGAAGTATGATCCATGATGAAGCTGACATTTGTCACAGAGGACTCTGGTGGTTCTGGAGGGGTGTTCAGCTTCACAGCGAGGGCCTTGTTACACAGCCTGGCACAGACCTGCTGTGTGCGTCCCATGTTAAGCACAGAGGAAGCAGTACTTTTGAGGTATGGAAGAGTCAGAATAAAATATACTTTAAAAAATCTTAAAATACTTTCCACTAATACATATGCATATTTGTGGGTGTGTGTGTCTCAAAGCAAAAATATTACCTGCTTTTTATAAAACCTTATAGATCACTCAGTTTAAGATGTTTTATTTATGTTAGAGAAAAATAATACAAAATTTCAAAACAAGATACTATAGTAACAATGATTAATACATTGTGAATTGTTATCTTTAAATTAGTTACTCAGAAGATGCTTGACTTTAACTCATTTACTTTTAGTGCTGGTGATAGAATCCAGCACCACACCGAAGTGCTTTACTGTTGTGACACACTCCCAGTCCCACTTTGTTTGAAGGAAATGTGATGTGCCCTTATTAAATAGTTGCCACCAGAATGGTGGTGGGTTTTATGGATGCTTCTACTGGCTGTTAGGTGAGTCTTCTCTTGATAATGTTAGCAAACACCTGTCATTTATTTAGAAGCCCACCCACAGAATTAAGGCTATCTAAAAATAATACATAAATGTTCACCTTTTTTCTGTAAGAAAAAGAATAAGAAATAACCACAATTATTGCTTACAAAAATAAATTCACAGTTTTGAGTGAAATACACAAGATTCACTTGTTACTCAAGGTCTTTCTCTGGTGGGACGACTTCCATTAACATCTGTAGGAAACTGGTAACAGGCTCTGGAACATAAGTCAGCAAATCAGTGCGGTTAGAAAAATGTAGCTAAAAGACAGCTGGGATTAGAGTAAATCAGGACTGTCCTTCTGGCTGCACTGGTACTTTGGAAAGTTACTTCCAATTAAGAAATTGGGGGTAGGGGGCAGGGAGATGGCTCAGTAGAATTAGAGCTTCCCTGGCAAGTGCAACGGTCTGAGTTTGGTCCTCGGTTCCCGGGGGGGGGGGGGACAAACTGGGAACCTGATAAATGTTTTATTGTCCCCTCACAGCATTTAATCCTAATAGAAATATGAGTGACCCATATATGTGGGTGTATTTACTACCATTTTCAGTGACTAATCTGAATTCATTAAGACTGCTTTTCTTTAACATGCAAACCATTTGATTTTTTTCACTACCTTGACCCAACTACTTACCAGTTTTTGGAGGGAAGAGCTTGGTTAAATAGAGAGCTGAGAAGCAAACCTTATTTTTTACCATTGGGTTACAAGTCATCCTGCTTAGCTTCTCTGTCTGATCACAGCAAAGTGCATTTCCAAGGCATGGGGGCAGGGAATGGGCATTTTATTAATTTTCTTTCCTTTCTATAGGTGTGTGCCTGCAGGCAATCAGCTTAGGTTAAGGTTGTCGGAAAGAGGTTTGGGGTAAAAAGAACTATGCAGGAAAGAAAAAGTCCCTGAATGACATGATCTTGTTTTGCTTTGTTTTTACTTTGCTAATGAACAGGAAATGAATTCTGGCCCTTTCCCCCAGCACCACTGTCAGATGAGTGATGGTCGCTGACTCCCCAGCTGAGGAGACAGGAAAGGCTCTGAAGACAGGCAAGCTCGCCCACTTTTGGGCTGAGCTTGAGTCCCAGCTCCACTTCCCTATCTTGTAGTTGGTTTTGTGCTTTGATACCTAAGTTTTATGTAGATGATGGAAGGATGGATGATTGGATGAATGCGTAGATGTGTAGGTGGGTGGGTGGGTGGGTGGGTAGACGGATGGATGGATGGATGGATGGATGGATGGATGGATGGATAGATGGAGACAGTTATTTTCATCTTCTAAGTTATAAGTATAAAAAGAAAAATTACACAGCTCGTTGCAAGGCTTACTTTCCTGGCTGGATAGGCTGACAGGAGCAGGGAAGAGGCAGGTTTTTAATCACACTTACAAATTCATTATGAGGAGCTGGAGTGCGCTGGACACAGTGCTGGATCCAGGATTAAACTGTGCAGAGCCCAATTAAAGGCTGTCACAGCAGAGACAGAAAATAAACCACTGATCACCTCACTCCCTGTGAGGCTGCTCAGGAGCCTGAAGCTTTCCTGAAACTGAGCTGTTACCAGAGACAAACTGCTGTGGATATGAGATAGCTACCAACACTAAGCACAGGTATGGTTCCGAGTCTCTTTCCACAGACTTTGGCATAGTGCTTTCGTTTTAGAGGCACAGAGGCCAATGTAGCTAACTTAGTAAACATTTGTCCCAAGATAGATGAGGATCAAGATGGAGAGTGACCCCTATGGCCTCAGCGAGGAGAGGCTCAGGCCCTCATCAGGGTCTTTGGGAAGCCTCAGAGCCTCTTAGAGGATGTCTGCACCACTGTCAGAAGCAAAGGAGCTGAGAAGATGAGAATATACTCTACACTGCTGACCTGTCTGCTCAATGGGATTAGAAGGAAAATATATGTTAAGGTATTTTACAATTAAAAAAAGAAAACAGTGCTTTTTGTTGTTGCTTGTTACAGTCATTAGCAGGAAAGACCAGGTATGGTAATGCCTACCTGTAATCCCAGCACTGTGGAGGCTGAGGCAGAAGGATCAAGGGTTCAATGCCAGTGTGCACAAATTAGTGAGACCCTGTCTCAACCCCATGACTCCCTCGCCCTACGCCCCACCAAAACCAAAAAGCAACAGAGGAGCCCAAGGCCGAACCTAGGGGCACTACCATGGGGAGAGAGCGAAGTGTCCCGAGAAGCTACAGTCTGCTAGCTGTATGAGGTCCTGTGATGAGGGGCTTTGTAAGACGAGGACAGCTGAGCTGGTGCCTGTCTGCCCTTCATGGATGTCAAGCAGCCTTCTGTTGGTACTTACTTGAGATTTTCTGAGCCCATGCAAACTCGTAGTGGATGAAAAGGAAGTAAAATATCAGTCCGCTCAGTATGAACACCACACAGTAGAGATATTCCCAGGCAGGACTAGTGATGATTGGGGTTAGAACCAAAAACACAGATACGAGAATCACCAAGATGGGGATGAAAATGGGCACCTGCAAAAGAGACAGCAAACAGGGATCATGGTTCAGCCTTTGGTGGTGGCCACCTTTTTGTCTCTGAATCCTCATGGCATCATAGAAGACCTTTGGAAGGTAATGGGGTCATGGGGCCTGATAACTTCTCTGCTATTAGGAGGTGGGCATGATTAAAAGAGGGGGTCTCAGTGGGTGAGACCAGGCTAGGTCTGCCTCCCTCTTGGCTCCTCCTCGTAGCATCTCTCTGCTCCCTGGATGCCATGAGGTGAGCAGCTTTTCCCCTACCATGCCATCCTGTCTTGGTGCTAGCCAGCTATTAGCTAATGCATGAGCCCAAATAAGCCTCTCCTCCTTTATATTATAGGTATCAAGTATTTTGTCTCATTGAAGTGATTAAAATGTGGTTTATCTTCTAGAAGTGGGGTAATTTATCCTATACAGCATGGGATTCTAGCTCTGCATCAGTGCTTTTTCTCAGTGTTATTGAACTTGGTCATGTCTTTCCTGTAGATAAGTAGAAAGAAGGCTTGGTAGTTGCAGGAGTGCACATTTTTGTGTGACACATGGATGGGCTGGTTATGTAGGATTGTCCCACAAAATTATTGATACTAATATGGAGTTCATTGTAACTCTCCACACCATGGTGATCATAGTTTAAAATCAAAGTTAAAGATTTAATGGTTCCCACTTCCATTGAGCATTCTCTTGGTTATTGCATCAGTGGTTGTGAAATGTTTATTTTCTAATTCTGTTTTCTACATTTAATTATTTGAAGTTCTATACAAACTTCAAATGTAATTCTAAGTTGCAGTTTGTATAGCAAAGAAGTACTATACAAAAATAAAAAATACTTCATTTTTTTTTCTTAGTTTTCAGGATGCGGTGATTCCCTGAAAGTTCCAGGAGTGACTCAAACTCCCAAGTTACATAATTCTGGGTTTCAGTCCTTTTAGTCATTTTTCCTAATATTCAGAATGTCCTGTCCATACCAGCAGGATTCCCATGGAGACAGGCCCTTGTAGTGTGATATACCTATGTTCTTTGGCAGCATTTCAGCTTTGTGTGTGGTGTGATGATGTTCATGAGAAGTGGGATTTAAAGGTGGTATTCTGGGTGGTTGGAGCAAATGAATAAGCCTTTTAGGAAGTGAAAACATTTCATGAATTCATAGGGATATTTCAGTACAAATACAACTTACATGAGTGTTCTTTTCTTTCCCTTTAGACCTCTCCTTGGCAGTATAATTCTGAAAATCCTGTCTCTCAAAAAGCTAATACATTTTCTTCATCCTATTATGTGTCTGTAATAAATTTCAAAATAACTATATATTGCTACTATTATCAGTAGTACCATGACATTTAAGATTACCTGTGCAGTTCTTTTTAACCACAGGACATTACCCACAGTGGAGATTCATTAAAAACACTTTTTTTTTTTCCCTGTGGCCAGTTCATCCCGCCCTGGGTGCAGGGCTGGCATCACATATAGTGGTGGGGATTGAACTGTAGTCCCTTTGCTTGTCTATGCAGGCACTTTAGACTGCTGAGCTATCTCACTGGCCCTAAAAATACTTTTTTAAATTTCTTTTTCTTGTTTTTTTATTTTTCATATATTTTATTGAGAAAGAAGTAGCAATGAGGCAGTGTCAAAACAGGTTAGTAAGGACAGTTACAATAATTAATACATTGCATATTGTTGTCTTTGTAGTAGTTATTCATAGTACAAGATGCAGACATGATATCTTGTTTAAACACTATCAAAACTTCTCTTTGAACTAAGAGAAAGTAGCTGTATATCTATGCTATTTTGTCTATACAGATACATATTTTTTTCACTACCAAATGGACCTTCATTTATATCCCCCCTTTTTTTTTTACCTTTGTCAGAGATGGATATTCTGTTGCCATTCATATATTGTAGGTGCATGAATTCAGCAAAGTAATCCACTATAGTACAGAAGTCTAAAATACTATATATTTTTAAATGCTGTATCAATTACAGTAATTCTTTCCTCTGTGTGGTTGTTACCCACTTTTTATAGAGCAAGGTTTATAGCCTTTTGTTTTTAAATTTTAGAAATTCATTTTTCCTAAATTCAAATGAATTTTAGAAATTCATTTGGCCTTTGTATGCTTTTTTCCTTTTCTTCTGTTTTTTCCCAGTACTGTATAATAAACTCGGAGACTTAAAAGATGTCAGCTTTTTCAACTTTCATTCTAAGTTACAATTTGTATAGCAAAGAAATACTGTACAAAAATCAAGAATACTTGATTTTTTTTTTCAAGATTAGGTGATTCCCTGAAAGTCTGTGGGTATTACTTGCAAATATTTCCCCATTACTTTATAAATGTGTTTCATTGTTTTTCAGTGGCAAAGGCATCAATTTTTGGTTCATTAGGGTACTTTTATCAGATTTTTCTCCCTTAATACTTTAGAATTTTAGGTGATAGGAAACTTTACCATTCATGAATTTAGAATATTTTTTTTCATGCAACAGTGTCATAATAGTTCAATTTTAGAACCTTGAGTAGTACCATTGTAGTTTAGAATTTTCATTCATATGCTTGCTTGTGTGTTCTTCAGTTTGAATTTAATAATTAGCTCCAAAGGGGAAGAAAGCATGATGACTTTTATTGTACTTACTTTAAATGTCTAAATTGGGAATCACTAACATTTCCATGTTACTGAGTTTTCCTGTCCAAGAACATGTATGAATTTTCATCATTCCAAGTTTACCTTTTACATCTTTCAGGAGTATTTAGAGCTAGTAAGTTGTTTGTTATTTTTTGCTTTGGGGAATGAGATATTCTGTTCATTTAAATTTCCACTGGGAATCACTTGCATAAAGGCTTTTGATTTCAGTATGCTAACTTTATATATTGCTGCCTCAGTATAGATAATCTTCAAAAGAAGAGTTTGAGGCTTTTGGGGGTTGAGGATTTGGGGGGCTGAAAAGACCTAGGGTCTTTTCACTGGACTGTATCTTTAGCCTTTTTTGTTTTGATTTGTTTTTTTCCTTTTTTATTTTAATGTATTTAATATGGGGTCTACAGGGTCTCACAATGTAGATTGGACTCATAGTGATTCTCTTGCTTTCAGCCTCCCAAGCACTGGGATTACTGATGTGTGCCACCACGCCCAGTCTCAATCGCAATCTCAGAGGGCCCCAGGGGCGGGGTTGGCATGGCATGCCAGGGATTGAACCCCAGTCACTGTGTTCTTGTTTTGTTTTTTTTTTCAGACATCTCAGTAAGTCACTAAATTACCCAGGCTAGGTTTGAATTTGCCATCAGCCTTCCTCTGGCTCCCAGAGTGCTGGGATTACAGGAGTGCATTACCATAAGTGGCTTAAGAGACTTTTAAGATTTGTTTTATTACCTTGATAATATCCTTAAAACAGTGCTAATAGAAAGAGAACTCATTTTTATTTCTGACTTTAGCAAGGATCTCTCTCCTAAAGAAATAAAATAACTTTTTTTGAGGTAGATGCGGAGGAGTTATATTAAGGTTTATGTCTTCATTGTTCATGTGTGAATTTTATTTTTAACCTATTGTGATCACAGAAGTTTTCTTCATAGGTATGTCAGTGTGGTAAACTACCCATCCATAAATTAACGGACTTTATGTCCTTTAGCCACTCTTGTATAGACTGGTAGCATAGCAGGATACAAAGCCAACACTGAAATATCAGTAGCATTCCTGTACAGGAATACACAAACTTCCTGAGAGACAAATTAAGGAAACCATACCTCTCAAATAGGATCAAGGAAAGTGAAATACAAACAAGTCTGATAAAGGAAATGAAATATTTATGTGTTGAAAACTAATACTCGGAAAAAGGAAATTAAAGAGGCTATCAGAAAGTGGAAGAATGTACCCTGTTCTTGGATAGGAATAACAATATAATGAAAATGGCCATATTTCCAAAATGTTAGATTTTATGCAGTTCGAATCAAAATAGTGTATCTCACACAGGTAGAGAATTCTAAAACTTTCTGGGCACCAGAAGAGACCCACAATAGCAAAAGCAGTTCTGGATAACAAGGGAAAAGTGTCACAGTCCCCAATTTGAAGTGTACTACAAAGCTACTGTGATTTAAAAAATAATAAGTATGATAATGGCAAAAACAAAAACACCACAGATCTGAGAACCAATTGGACAAAAGATTCATGAACAACTCCAGACATATTCAGATGGCTTATCTTTGACAGAGAGACCAAATACCTTCACTGGAAGAAAGACGGCCTCTTTAATGAACAGTACTGAGAAAATTGGCTTCCCATATGCTGAAGATTACACCTAGACCCCTATCAGTCACCACACACTAAAATAGAAATGGATCAAAGATCTAAATATTAAAACAGGAGCACATAATATTCTAAAAGATAAAAAGAGTAAAATTCTGGAAGACATAAGTGTAGGCAAAGATTTATTAAAAATAGAACCCTAGCCACACAGGAAACACTACAATATACAGAATAGTGAAATTGACATTTTTAGGTAAATGGATGCATTGTGAGACTATATTTTTAAGTGAAATAAGTCATAAACTCATCTGAACATTTCATTGTATCTCTTGTGTGAGAAATTTAAAGAGTAAATGAGGACCAAAATGGATGATAGATATTGGGGAATAGGAATAAAATGTTCAAATGAGAAGGGGAACATGGAAAATGGAAGGGGAAGAGAAGGAAAAGGGAAAAAGAAGAATAGAAAAAAACACAAAGGGTTGGAGGGAAGGGGATGGGCAAAGAATCATGAACAGGTACAAATTCCCAATCATGATGTGATTAGTGTGTATATCTAAAGTGTCACATTAAAAAATGTTTAAATCCTTAAAACAAGTAAAATTGGAAATATGTAAACACATGAAGGTTTTTTTAAAAGTTCTAGGACTATTTTAGAACATCTAGATAAAATTCTAGTTTTCTAGGAAAATAGAATTCACTAAGACAGATGTCAGCACAATGAGAATCATGGGAAAATTCTAAAATTCACATAATTCTAGTATTTTTCAAGAACATTTAAAAAGGAAAACTTTGAAAGTGCCAAACTGCTATTTTTTCTTCATTTTTTTTTTCTTTTCTAATACCCTAAGCTATTTTAAGCTTATTCCTTCTAAACTTTGTTTTTTCTCTTGCTTTCTCTAGCCTGGTTTCTGTTTCTTTCATTTTCATCAATAGAAACTTTGAATGAAATGTCAAAGTTTTTTTCTGAGAGTGCGTGTCATTTTTAGAAATTTCTGTACTCTGATCTCCTATTTCTACTTAGACCTAAAAGTTGCTTTTTCTTCTCATCTGTTTTGTGTACTGTACACAGTGAAAGTTGGGTGGCTTATAATTTCTTTTGGCATGGAAGTTCATCAGTTCACAGATAGGTCTGTAGTATGCCTGAGGCATCAGCTGGTGGCAGGGAGAAAGCGATGGAAATCTTGGAGATGTGCTTGTGACCTTCTCTAGATCTTCAGTTGCTTTACAAGCAGGTGTTGAAGGAGGCCTTTTCCAGCCACTGTGAGCAGTGAGTGTTTCTCTTTCCCCATGCTGTGGACTCTACTTTGTAAATAAGGCTGCAGCACAGTATGCTGAGGAGGCTCCATAACTTCTCTTTTCACTGTGAATTTTAGCTTTCACCTGACTGTCTCTGTCTTTCTAAGCTGTGCTTTGGGCCTGGGTTCTGGTCCTGTTGACTGTTTCTTCATTTACCTGATAATTGTTTGCATGTCCTTTGTTTTTAATTTCACAAGCTTTGTAGATCTGCCTGGAAAATCATTTTCTTATAATGGCTGATGTAAGCCAAATCAGTTGATTCACCTTGTTGCTAAATTTGGTCTCCATTTCCTCCTGTTGTTTTGTTTGATTTCTACATGTAAATGTCTTCTTACTTGTGCCCTTTGTCTTTTGAGACAGGCCCTCACTAAATTGCTCAGATAGGATTGAACTTGAAAGTCTCCATCTCAGCTTCCTAAAATCCTACTGTTATAGGTAGGCATGAACTATCATGCCCAGCTTGGTATCCTTCACTGAGAGTGTGTTTGGCGTACTTTAATGAATTGCCATGTATTTTTCATATCCTCTCTCTTTTCCATTTTGTTTTAGAACATTGACATTCCAGTCTGTCACCTTTATATCCTACCATTGACTCTTAGCTCTGCAGTTAAGTAAACTCACCTTTTGCCAGTGACTTTTTGTCTGAAGCTCATTCTCCAGGCAATTCCTCAGGAAGGACACATACAATATTATGTATAACTTGAATCCTTTCATCCTGGTAACTATTGTTCAAGATCACTTTTCTTCAATATAAAAATATTGGCTTATATTTTGAGTATCTGAAATACTCATGCCATGTCTTGTGGCATTAAATGTCAATGACAAAAAGTCAGATGCTAGTAATCTTTTCCTTGTACATGACTTGAGGGTAGAGATGGGAACAAGAAGGGGGTAGTGGATCCACAGAATTCTATTAGACTATATACATCTGGCCTATTTGTTAGGTGAATTGTGTGCCTGTCACTCTATTGAGAGGATGGTAGAGTCCTCCTTTAATCTAAGGAAATAATTCAGTTGTAATTTTTAGTATTTCTAAAATTGATTTCACTCTTCTTCAGGGGCTCCAAATTTACATGTATTACAACCTCCATTTTTTTTTTGTCTCCTTTACCTATGTCTTCTCAAATCCCTTTATTTCTTTTAGACTTATTTTCATTTCCTTGATTCCAGTCCTCTTCCCTGGACCACTTCTTTACTCTTGTGTTCTTTTATGCTTGTTTCAACATGAGCAACCTCTTCTGTGTAGCCTCTTTCCCATGTAGAGATGAGTGTCCACAGGCGCCACCTCCTGGGTCCCAATGTGCTTGCCATCTTCTGTGTGTTTTCTGAGCCCAGCACTGTTTCTAGTGGTCCTGGAAGTGTTTTCATGCTGGAAAGGAGCTTTTTCAAGGAAGCTATGGGACCCGTGAGGATTGAGGCAGCCCTGTTTTCCACTTTTGCTGGTGGGCTTCAGGTCTTCTGGGAGACCAACCCATTGTGCCCTCCATTGGGGCTTATGGTGCTTCCATGCAGTCTGGGCTTTGTGGCCACACCACTTTGCCTTAATTTGTGTTGATGATGTTGGCTGTGGGATTATCCCTTTGCTTCTCAGTGATTCTGCCTGGTTTTATAGGAGATTTTGTGCTGGGTCATCTGAGTGAGAGGATACTCCTACCTCCAGGCAAGTTGCCCAATATCTCTGATGACTCCATGGACCTGATGGAGGTCCGGAGACAATGCAGTGTAGACCATTAGACAACTTTCTGAAACACAAGCTAAAATTAATTCTGGCCTGCTGGTACACACGTGTAATCCTAACACTCTGAGTGGCTGAGGCTGGAGGATCACAAGTCTAAGCCCAGTCTGGGCAATTTACAACTTAGATCCTCTCTCATTAAGGGGGGAAAAAATGAACCCATGGTATATGTCCTTGCAGAGGTCCTAAATGTCCTAGAATTAAAGACAGTGTCCTTATTCTTTTCCTGGTCTTTTGTCAGACTCTTCTTATATCTCTGCTCTGTTAAACTAAGAATTCAAAAGCACAATTGGTTGGGGGTTTTAGCCCCTAGCATAAAACTAGTAAATGCTGCTTCATCTTTGTGGCAGAGAGATCCCACCAGCAATTCAGGGAGTAGGAAGGAGCTCTATGGAGGTTGTGAACTTAACCAGGAAAGACCCAGTGACAGAGTTCAGAAGACTGCCCCCCACGTCATGGAAAGGGTCTATTGTTGGCAACCACTCGGGTAAAATGACAGCTTAGTAAAATGAATGAGTAGGTGGGTAATGGGATCGTAAACTATAGGATGAAGTACAGAATATATTCCTGTGTAAAAAAATGACACTGAAGAACAAAGAGTCAGAAAAAGATCAAGCTTGTCTTCAGGCTGGTCACCAGAGCTGCTTGTGACACTGGACATGAAGCTTACCTTGATAGGCCTTTCGCGATGTTTGTGTGTAAATCTCATCACAACAAGTGCTATAACGGTCATTGCATAAAATAACCATGTAGCAAAACTGAAATAATTGACCAAACTGTTTATGTCACCAGGGATGATATAAATCGTTGCTATTACACCCTAAAAGAAAGAACAAATTATGGAGTCATTGGCACAGAAAAGTATTATGCTTGTCACCTCATAAAAGTCTGAAGAAGCAATTTTTGCTACACAGATCAGCATGAAAGACACATCCCCTGTATTCCATGGCAGAAATGGTTGAACACAACTTTGGCTGTGCTAGCTGTTCTATCTGATACTTGCTGGGAAGAACTTCAGTAGTATTTGCATCTTTGCAGTTGTGATTTTAAGCAAGGAAAATATTAGGCAAAATCTGTACATACAGTGTACCAGCTCCACAATTACAGATTTAAATTCCAGAGAGTCTTCATTATGGCCAGGAGCCCTACACTATGGGACTCAGGTCTGATCTCGCCTGCATTAGCCACCTGGGCCTTGACTTGTGCCCCTGATCTCTGGACGAGGCTCCCATCTTCAGAGTATGCAGGTGGAAGAGAGAGGTATTAGATGGGCTCTGGAGCTAGGAGGTATTAGATGGGTCTTGGGAATGTGAAGGGTAGTTGAGTGCCCAGAACAGCTGCACATGACCCAGATGATTTATCCCTGAGAATCTCGCATTAGAGCCGTTGATGATCTCAGGACATATATGTTATTAGGCCATAATGAGAGACTGCTGTTAGCATCACCTTGTACAGTGCCTTGTTCTCCCTCCCCATGCACTGTACATAGCTTATTCCAGGTGGCTCAGAACAAAGAAATGAATGTACATGAAGGAAGTAGTGATACCAATTTGGAGGATTAAACCAATATCATTTGTGTGTAAATTTAGAAAAGGAACAGAAGTAGGATAAATTCAATTGTCTTGGGAATTCATTTTATATTTCACATCACAGAATAAGGGAACCTGGCTCCTTCTCAGGTAGAATGGGTCATAGTTAGGCAAATGAACATTTGGGAATGACCTGTCAGTCATAGAGACCTTTCCCAGAAGTATTCTCAGAGCCGTGCCTGGGATGGCTCTAATGTGAGAAATGGACATAAGAGATGGCAGCCATTAATCTCTTGGCCACTGAGAGCCTTTAACTGGCCCACACTTGCTCTGCAGAGCACACTTCTCTTTTCTTCTTTTCCTACTTTGAGCTCACCTTTAGTACCTTTAATGAACACTAAACATGTATGTTCATTTTTATGTCCACTTCTTCAAATAGGATAATAATGGGGGCCAGGGAGATGGCTCAGTTGAATAAGCACTTCCCTGGCAAGTGCAAGGGTCTGAAATCAATCCCCGGTTTCACCAAAAAATTAAAAAATAAATAGGATACTAATGGCCTGGACAGGACCACTGGTCACAACACCCAGGAACAGTGTAAAACCACTGGACAAGTAATAGGAAGACAGGTCTTTTTCATCCCTGGACCTGCAGGCCCTCTGCCTGCAGCCCAGGCATCGTGGTGCGGTTCCTACTTACATAGAAGATGATGGCAGGGGCGGGCGTGAGGCGCCTGACGCTGATGTAAGAGAGCACCTTAAGCATGTGCCCTTCACGGCCTGCGACATAAATGAGTCTGAAAGAAGAATCATATGGAGGTGCTAAGCAATTGTGTCCTGAGCTCCACCTGGGGATCACAGAGAAGGTGACTGGCCATCTTTGGATGACTGTCTCTGGAAGGGAGTGTCAGAAGGTGACTGGGGGTTAGGTACATCCTGCTAATGGGAAGGCACCAAAGCAGTGATGGATGGAGATTGTCTGCACAACTTCTAATTCCTGCGCTGGGCTACATAGGGAATTCAAGGCCAACACACGACATAGCAAGACCCTGACTCAAATAAAATGCATCATCTGAAGGTTGAATTAGCAAACATAAACAAGTGGCACTTCCTGTCAAAACTCCTTACAGTTCAGTTTTCTGAAAGACTGTGTTTAAAATATTAAAAGGAAAAAAACTATGAATATTAAAAGGAAAAATAGACTGGGCTACATAGTCCAAGGTCAGCCTGAACTACAAAATGAGACACTATCTCAAACCCCACCTTCCAGAAATTACTCAAATTGCATTATATATCTAAATGGAATAGCTAAAAGTGAAACCTCTAAGGAGAAAATCTTTGTGAACTTACATTAAATAAAGCCAATAAAAATATGCTACTTAAACTTAAGCTGGCCTTTATCAAATTGGAAACATTTACATCAAAAAGTGAGATACATCACTATAAAGAAGAAATTATGTAATTTTCAGGAAAAGAGAAAACTGGAGACCCATCATATTAAATGATATAAACCAGTTTTAAAACTTAAAATACTTTCTCTAAAAACCTACAGATAAAAACAAGAAAGAGGACAAAAAACTAGAAGGTAGTCTAGAGATGTGGAAGGGGTTAGATGGAAAGAAAGGAATTTGAGGGCCAGTGAGAATGCTCAGTGAATTAGGCGCAAGAACCGTGGTTTGATCCCCAGCATCACATAGTGTGCTGGCCTCACCCCCTGGGAACACAGAAGCAGCCACTGAAACCTGGTATGGTGGCGCATGCGAATCCCAGTGCTGGGGAGACTGAAAACAGGAGAATCACTATGAATCTTAAGAACTGAGTAGTGAGACCGTGTACCAAATACATATAAAAAAGGGGGGAAGGATAATCAGAATATGGTACATGCTTGTTTGGACGCATTAGAAAGAATTTCATTATTGTGTATGACTAATATGCACCAATAAATTATAAACCACCATTGTAGCAAAAGGACAAGCTCCAGACTAAAAATATGAACAAGTTGGATATCTGATAAAGAATTTGTATGTAAAGTACATGAACTCTTACAATTCTATAATGAATAAACCACTTCTTAGGCAGATTTTTAAATATTTCACTGATGTAGATGTTTGGTGCTGGGAATGGAGCCCCAAGCCTTGAACATGCTAGGCACACTATTACTAAACTATGCCCTCAGCACACTGTATTTGTACTTTTTATTATTTGTTCATTGGCTTGTCTTTTTGACAGAAGACCTCACTATGCTGGCCATCAACTCACTTTGTAGCTCAGATTGGCCTTGAACTCACAGCAATCCTCCTGCCCCAGCCTCCAGAGTTCTGGGATTACAGGCATGTGTCACCATTCCCAACTTAGTACTTTTTTAAAAAAATTATTTTTCTGTATTTTAGGGAACGGTCTACAAGGTGTTCAGGGTCTCACTACTAGATCGGACTCGTAGTGATCCACCTGTTTACAGCCTCCCAAGTGCTGGGATTACAGGCATGCCACAACGCCCAGTCTCAATTGCTGTCTCAGTGCACCCCAGGGGTGGGGCCAGCATGGCAGGCCCAGGGATCAAACCCCCAGCCCCTGTGCCTGCTTGCAGGTGCTTTAATCAGCTGAGCTACTTGGCTGGCCCAGTACTTTTAATATTACAAATAAAATGGCTTTTTTTTTTCAACCCCCAAAAATGGAAAAAAAAGAAAAAAATTTATTCAACTGGGTTCTGGGGTTCCAAAACTACAAATGAACTTTTAGATTTTATTTTATACAGAAAGTTAATCATAAAGTTACTATATGACACAGTAATTCTATCCCTAGGAACTTCCTCAAGAGAGAAAAAAAAAAAAATCTGTCCACATAAAAACACAAGAATATCCAAAGCAAAACTATGCATAACAGCCCAAATTGGAAATAATGCAAACAAATGGGTAAATAGTAGAAGACCCACACACTGGGATATAGTCCTTTGGTTCCAAGCTCAGAGTCTGAGAAACATAATGCTATCTAAAAGTACATAGTGTTGAGAAACAACAAAGTTACAGGGGCCAGGGAGATGGCTCAGTGGAATAAGTGCTTCCCTGGCAAGTGCAAGGGCCTGAGTTCAATCCCTGGTTCCGCCAAAAAAAAAAAAAAAAAAAGTTACAGAGGTGGCAGATGTGTTAAAGGCTGGAAGTAAGAGCCGGGGAGTTGGCTTAGTGGAATAAGCACTTCCCTGGCAAGCGCAAGGGCCTGAGTTCAATCCCCGGTTCTGCCAAAAAAAAAAAAAAAAAAAAAGGCTGGCATTTTGACCCTAACCTTCTAAGGTCAATTAAGACTCAGGACATATGAGAACTTGTACTGTAATGTCATGTACCTCGGTAGTGTCCCAAATTTTCTGATCAAGAAGATTATGGGGCCAAAGAGGAAAGTGATCGATGACGTAGAGTGTGCCTAAGGAGAGTCACATGGGGAGAAGACACTCTCTCAGGCTTTCACAGAGAGCACATTGGCCAAGCAATGACTGTGACTCATCTACATGGCTGCACTGACAGAGGTTCTACAATCTGAGGTACAGGATCTCAGGATAAATCCTGAGGGCATTTCACTGACCTCAGACCCAAAAGCTACAACTCTTGTTGCATAGGTCCTGCTTTACCTTGGTCTTAACCATCCAGTAGAAAAGTATGAAGACGAAATATAGGAAGTAAAGCCATGTTGTTATTTTGAGCTGTGGGGGACTCAGGTCAATAATTTCTGACATTGCCAGTTAAACAGAAGACCCAATGCTATTATGGGCTACTGGACTCTTTTAGAATATTTTGCTGAGTTTACACACCTATAATATTCAATAACGGGGGGCCTGGCCATAGCTCAGTTCTTTAAGTGGCTGCTTCCACAAAGCTGTGAGCCTCAGGTAGCTGTAGTTCGACTCCCACAACACTCCAGCCAGACAAACCATGCCTGAGGGCATTCAGAGCAAAAAAAAAAAAAAAAAAATTCAATAACGGAACTTAGAAAAAATGGGGTATACCGATGAATGTCCATTTTGTATCTGTGTATTCAAAGTGGTTAGGATAGATATATATTTGCATTCTCTTAATGAATAGAATGATTTGTTCTAATGGTGTTTGTAAATAGGATCTCCAGTCCGCATCTTGTACAGCAATTAACCACTAAGAAGAATATATGCAGTATGTTATTTGTTGAAACTGTACTTCCGATTTGATTTGAAACTGTCTCATTGCTGTTTGTCAATAAAATTTTGAAAAAAAAAAAAAGGCTAGAAGTAAACGTAATTAGACATGAGGAAACTTTCTGGGGCAATGGAAATGGTAGCTATATTGCTGGATGAATTTACCAGAATAACTGAGTTGTGTAATTGCAGGGGTGAGGTTCTGTGGTAGTGCTTAACTGTTAAAGTTGTGTTCTTATATACTAGCAACAAACTATTTGAAACTAATTTTTTAAAAATTCTAAATGACATTTACAATGGCATGAAAATATATGAAATACTTTGACATAAATATAAAAGATTGCAAGAATTAAAGATTTTTTGTAAAAACTCAATTATAAGATGGCAGACCTCTCCAAATTGACTCATACATTGAGTATAGTCCAAATCAAAGTCCCCACTTTTTTGAGAACTTGACAAGGTGATTCTAATACTCAGAAATGAGAAAAAATATATATATATGAAAAACAATAGAATTGGACCCTTATATGAAGGCTATTCTTGATACAGGATTCAAGTCAAGATGGATTCAAGATCTAAAAGCCAGGCTGGGGAAATAGCTCAGTGGAATGAGTGCTTGCCTGGCAAGTGCAAGGTCCTGTGTTCAATCTCCGGTACCACCACCAAAAAAAAAAAAAAAAAGATCTAAAAGCATAAAACTGAGAACTGAGAAAAAACTACAATCAGCAATGATTTTTGTCCATATGATCCGAAAAGTACATACAACAAAGGTAAAAATACACAAATGGGGTTACAGCGAAATCTTACTGCACAGCAAAGGAAACCCTCAGCAAAAGAGACAACTCACAGAAACATTCATAAATCATGCATCAGATAATGAGCTGGTCTCCAGAGTGTGCAAGGGACTCAATAACAACCTGAGCAAACATTTCTCAAAAGACATTCGGATGGCCAACAGATACATGAGAGAAATCTCAACAGCATCAGAGAAATGTAAACAAACACTGCAGTGCGATGTCATCTCCAAAAAATGAAAACAGTGTTGGCAAAGACGTGGAAAAAAAAAAAGCCCTGGTACCTGTTAGTGGGAATGTAAGTTAGTATAGCCATTTTAAAAGTCAGTATAGCTGTCTCAACAAACTAAAAAGTAGAATTAGCATATGATGTAGCAACGCTACTTCTGGGTATGTACTGGGAAAAATTAAAATCAGGCTGAGACAGGAAGATCACCTTGAGTTGGAGCCCAGCGTGACCTACGTAGCAAGACCATGTCTTTAATAAAAATATTTTAAATATGGAAACTAAATAAATGAAAAATTATGCTAAGTGAAATAAGCCAAGCAAAGAAAAACAAGTACTATGTGATCACTTCTCTACATTATTTTTCAATTTAAAACAAGTGTTGCCAAGGGTTATAATACCATTCCTGGGGAAACAGGATCTTGAGTTTGAGGCAGGCCTGAGCTATACCATGAAGCCTTGTTTCCAAAAGCCAAAATAAGAGATAAAATGTACATAGAAATGCAAATAATCTACAGTAGCTTTGGGGGGGAGCTTCTAAGGATAAAACCCAGGACTTCTCGCATTATAGGCTAGTACAGTACCACTGCAGTACACACATAGTCTGAAATGGCTTTGAAAAGGGAAAACGTTGGGGGAATAGTTCTAACTGTATGCTGATACTACTTTAGAAAATAATTTTCTGGTGCACATTTTGTTGTTTTGAAGTGAAAACCCTGTGGCAGTTTCACTCTGACACACCTCCATCAGGAGCCTGGACACTGGGCAAAGACCTGTTCTAGAGTGGACTATACATTGAGCATAGTCCAGATCAAAATCTCTTTTTTGAGAACTTGACAAGGTGATTCTCATACTCAGATAGAAATGGGAAAACTATGTATATGAGAAACAATAGAATTGGGCTCTAATATGAAGGTTATTCTTGATACAAGATTAAAGTCGAGATGGATCAAAGATCTAAAAGCCTAAAACTATTAGAACTGAAAAAAGCTCAGTTTTTTCCTCGAAAGGAAGTAGAGCAGCTAAGAGGATGGAAATGCCCCAGCCCCACTGTGAGGGGAGGCTTGGTTAGATTATGCTGCCTCATAAAAGGGACACAGCACAGCTGTGAACAATATCCCAGCCAGCTCTGCACTGGCAAACCACCGTTGATGTAGTGTTTTACTGGGACAGAACTATAGCTCGTTTTTGTGGTGGTGGTGGTGGTGGTGGTTTTTAATACTGAAGAACTGACTCTAGAGCTACACTAAGTGAGCTACTCTTGACTTTTTAAATTTTTTTTAATTTTTATTTTGAGACAGGTCTTTGCTAAGTCACTAAATTTTCCATGCTGTGCTCCAAGTTGTGATTCTCCTGTCTGAGCCTCCCAGAGTACTGCTGAGATTACAGGCATATGCCACCATGCCCAGCTGGCTGTTCATATGTGGTGGTATAAAGTTGAGGCAGAGACCAGTTTTGATAGAGACTTATATACCTGTAGCCTTGAGTATTAAGCTTTGCCTGTCTGAGGGGAAGGTTGGTGAGTCTATGTATGAACATGAGAAGAGATTTGAGAATAGTGCTAGGTAAAGCAGTGCAGCTTGAGACACACCATATGGAAACCAAAGCCTCGTCCGTCCCATTGTCTTCATCTGCCCTGTTTTTGGCACTCTTTTCCCTATAGGTAGCACCTTTGACTCTACTAAAGTGATCTTCTCCACACTTCCCTTGCCAGTTTGCCTTGTGGGTGCAAGCCACAGCCCTTCTCTGGACTGGGGCTCTGACTCAGACCAGGAGGCACTTAACCTAACCCAACTGGACTTAGGGCCTCCTGAGTGTGACATCAGCTCCGCTACCTCCCTGCCCACCTGGGGACAGAGTAATTGCAGGGTTTCCTACCTGCCCGCAGTGAAACAGGTCCCATTAGCAGCTCCGATGGTGGAAAATGCCACAAAAAGTGGGACAACCCAAGAGGCTGGATAGAGAACACGGTCACCAAAAGTCTGGTGGGAGAAGGAAATGGATGCTTAGAATTTTCCCTTCTATAACCTCCCAGAAGCATTGGTCCAATGAAGCTCTTCTAGCTTTCCAGACAGTGTAGGGCCCCAGCTCAGCTGCTTGGGCACAGCCCATGACCCACCCTCTGGAGAGCATCAGCAGGTGAAAAATCCCTAGCATCTCGAGATCTTTTTTTTCTTAATGTATTTGGTACAGGGTCTCACTATGCAGCTCAGGCTCATAGTGATCCTCCTGTTTTCAGCCTCTCCAGCCCTGAGATTACAAGTGTGCACCACCATGCCTGGTCTCAGTAGCTGCTCAGTGCACTGGGGGTGGGGTTGGCATGGCATGTGGTGCTGAAGATAGAATCCCAGTCCCTGCACTTGCCTAAACAGGTGCTCCATTGGCTGAACTATGTCACTGACGTGAGATTTTCCTATTAATGGGTTGATTGCAGCACTAGAAATTTGAGGCCAGGGCCTTCACAATGAGCTATATCCTTAGCCCTCCTAAAGTTTTGTGTTATGAGACAGGGTCTTGCCAAGTTGCCCAGGCTGAGGTTAAACTACTGTTCTCTCCTGAGTCTCCCAGAATGGGGGGATTTAGGCCTGTGTTGCCACTCTGCTGTTTCAGGATTCTTTTCT